TTTTATGATGAGAATAATTAATAAAATGAAATTTGTTAAATTGAAATAAACTTATCAGGCAGCTACATTTCTAGATATGAATGTGTTCCATATATTGAATAACGTTACACAGCTCTTTGAGAAACTATACAACTAACACTTCTCTTTCCAGAAAAATACCTATTTATTTCTTAAAGTCAGTTCTGAATAGTGAGTCCATTTGATTTTTTTCATCCTTGTCTTAGCTACATTTACTTTCGTCTCACTACTTTAATGGATTAGTCAGGCATGGTTTTCCTCTATACTCAATAAATGTTTGCTGAATGAAGGAATAAATTACAGAGAACATATTCTCTCTTTTCTAGCAAGTTATCTGCTAAAATAATCAGTGACCCTAGTCTTCATTATAGATTTTCCTGTRTAAAATTGTTAATATCTGTGGTTTTCTGAGTTTCTCTGGAATTCATCCAATGGATTGGATTTTAAGGGAGTATGAGGTACCATTATCATGCAAATTCCCTGGGCCTCTAGGAAAGTGGCTCTATCATACTTTATTTTTTCAAGCCCTAGAATTTACTCGGAGCATCTTGATTACTTGTTGACTCTCTAGATTGTAATGTTTAGTACTGCTATCTCCCACATGGATCTTAATGATCTCATGGGATCAGTCTTGGCTGTCCACCCATTGTGGATTGAGCATATCACCCATTGTTGATTTTTAGTACTGACCATGAATGCCTTTCCTTATCATTTCTACCCATGTGTGATAATAATCACATGAATTGTGGGGCAGGGGGGGGGACTTTCTTAAATAGTGAAAATATTGATTCAATGTTCACTGTTGATCACTATTGTAAAAGAGCTTATTCACAATTACTTGTACCAGTTCGTCAATACTTGATACCAGGTGTGGTGTATTTCTTTTCTTTGTGGGTTCTAAGCTACCTCTTCTAAGAAGCAGTCCTTTATCCTAACTAAAGCTATGTCTCTAAAATGAGATCTTCTGTATTCTACATATCTTCTACCAATTTGTTTCTGCCTTGTGTACCATCAGTTTTCCATCTGTATATTYGGTACACAGAAGGTACTCACATAGTTTTTGAACTATTGAGTGGATGAAATAGAGATTTTTATTTATATTTTGATTTGATTAATGATGTAATCTTAATTTTCTGTTTCTTCTCAAAGTACCAGTTTATTTCCAATTAAGTACTGGCTCTAAGCACTGTAGACTCTAACTTCAGCAAGAGAAACCAATTTGAAGAGCCATCCAAAGAACCTTAGAATCATTTCCGAGTTTCTTAAAGAGAAAACACACCTCTCTGGTTTAAGTTCATTGAAGAAAATGAGAAGGAGGAAATGATGCAGTCATTTCCTGGAAGGATGTCAGAGAAAACAAGTCTCTGTTCCTAATTTGCCTTAGTTGTCTCCTGCATAACAAACATTATTCAAATTGAGACAATGTTGGGAAATCCCACTGGCCTTTTCATCCTTTCATCCTCAGGGCTCTTCACAAGTTCATATCTGCTTTAGAGGTGCCTCCCTTTCCACTTAGCCTGCTCTTTTTCATTTTTCTGAGCTTCCAGAATCCTAAAACCCCTTGCCATTGGAATAGGACACTATCTTGGTGCCCTTTATCCTTCTTGCCCTAACAAATCTCACACAGGCCTTTTCCTTTTTGGAGGCTTTAAAGACTAACCACTTTGGGAAAACAGGCAGAGGTGAGACTAGCACCTTCCTGTCTGGGCTGGAATATTCTTTTCGAGTTTCAGACTATTTTTTTCCTATCTCTACTTATCTCCTTTACTACCTCCAGGAGTGTCTTTGGCACCAGAATTTGGAAATCTCATGCTTCCCCACAGGGTGTTTTATAAAATGCATTAATTGGCTTATTAATTTATATATTTCTTCATATTCCAAAATCTGGTATCAGGGATGCCTTTAGCCACAGAACATTTTGAGAGATCTGAAATGGTGGACATACCTTTATCATAACAGGTGCCCAAATTCAGTTTCAGTAAGAAGAATAACCTGATCTTTTAAAATGTCTAAAGTTGGGATACCCCAGAGTTCATATGTTAGACCCCGCCCCACATTTCCTAAGAGCTTGCCCATTTTCATGACTTTAAATACTACCTTTCTATTGTTAATAACTCCCAAATATACATATCTAGTCCCCACTCACAATAATTTCTGATTTTCTATTGGATATGTCCAGTAATTTCCATAGACACTTTAAATTTATGTCCAAATACAAACTCTTGATTTCCCATAATCTGAATTTTTTTTTTCTCCTCTAACGTTCCTTATCTCACTAACCTGGTTGCAGAGACCAAAAACTTTGAGTCTTTCTCTTACAGGCCTCATCCAACCCTTCAGCAAGTTCTAGTGGATACTCTTTAAAATATCTCTCAAATATGTCCACATATCATTTCTCCCAGCATCACTGTTCTGGTTCAAGTCATTGTCGTCTTCTACTGCAGTAGCCTTTTAATGGTCTTTTTTCTTCCACTCTTGCCCTGCCCCTCTTTAAAACATAAATTAGTTTGTAATTCTCTGCTGTATATACCCCACTAGCTTCTCATCAACAAGGTCCAATCTGTGACTCTTGACTATGTCTCTACCTTTTTCCTCTGTGAATATTCCTCTCCCTCATTTCCCTCCAGGGGTACTGGCCTAGTTTTCTTCAGTCACTCAGATACATTCAAACCTGAGTTTTTGCATTTGATGTTTGCCTTGAACTCCCTTTCTGCAATCATTTGTATGGTTTGTTCCTTCTCTTATTTGGATCTGTACTCAAATGTCATTTCCTCATGGAGGCTGTTATTTCTTTAATTAATCATCCTGTTTAAAATAGTATCCTCCTAAAAATTCTGAACTTGCTGTGTTTTTCCTCCATGGTTCTTATCACTATCTAATACTATATTATCTATGTCCACACTCAAATGAGGACAGAGAATGTAAGGGCATTGTCAGTTTTGTTCATTACTCTATCCTTAGCACTCAGAACAGTGCCTGGCTCATAACAGTGTGCTAAATTTATATATATATATATATATATATATAAATTTTTATATATATATATATATAATATGTAATCTGTATATGAATGAATGAATATATGGATAAGTGACTGAACTTAGACTTTGAGAAAGATTCTGAAGGAATGTTCAAGACCCACAGTGCCCAAATAGCGCCCAAGTGCTCTTATCTCCATGTGCAGATGGATTATCTAATGAAGAGTTAGTTATGATTCTTTCTCCAAATATATATTGAGCACCTACTGTATGCCTGGCATTATACTAGGCATTAATGATACAAAGATAAACATAGCCTAACCAATGTGCATAAGGAAGTAGGAGTCAATGAATAATTAGGAAAAGAAGTGCTTAGGAGTATAAGATATAAATTTTTAGTAGATAAAAATTAACAGAAAAGGACAGGTGTAGCTCAGTCATGGAGYAGTTGTCTAGYGTGCATGAGGCCCTGGATTCAATTCCCAGCACTGAAAAAAAAAGAAGGGGAGAAGAATCTGATGAGAGAGGAAGCTAGATATGAAAGATGATCCTAAAATTGCCTGAGAAGAGAAAATTTGGGAAGTGAAGACCACATGCTGTTTTGCTGTGAGGAATTCCCATAGGGATTCTGTCAGCATTTGCCATCAAGACATCATGCAGGGATGCATGTAATTCAGTGGAGATTAATTAATTTGTGAAGTATTTTGAAACTCCTGGAACAAATGTGCCTTCTCTTACTAGTCTCTGAAACTCATAACAATGATTAAGTCTTCTTACCCTGCCTGCCTTAGCTCTTATAGAAGCATTAACATGAAATGAGATAGTGCATCTGTTGATAAGGACAAGGATTCTAACACTGTATATAAAGGGACCCCCTTCAGTTTCTTTTCTGATTCAGACACTTGAAATCTGTTGGGCAGTGGTAGAATAGTAGGCTTTCTTTCTAGGACCCTGGTCCCTGGTGCTGCTTGTCTTTCACAGGGGTCTAAATATGTCTTAACATGGAATCATCCTCTCTAGCTAGGACACGAAGCCTAGGTGGGTGGGGAATTCCCCTGTTTTATTTAAATCATAGTTTTCTTTTCRTTTGGCTAGCATATTCATGATTAGTTTACTGACAATTGGTTTTTTTTTTCTTCTTATACCATATGCTATTCCATGATTCATCAGCTTTGAGTCTGTTGCCTTGAAGGTGAAACAATTTCTTCCAATGTTGATATTTCAAAATCTCATGGATAACAAGCAGACGCATATGCATAGTCCTTTCAGAAGTTTTAAACATTTGGAGATGAATGAATTATGCTGCCACAAATGGAAAGAAGCAGTATAAACTTATAATTTTGATATCCAGTCATCTTTTGTTGGGTGATTGCTTGAACACTGATTTTGATAAAATCTGGAAGCTTTATTATATTATTCTGTCCTTGTGAAATTGTTTATGGTAGGTGTTATTATTTTTAAAATTTAGAATTTTATTTAATTGCCTTGATTTACATGTATTATGTTAGACTGACAAGATTTTTATTTTTGGAAATAAATAGGATTTAAATTCCAAATAAATCAATATTAGCTGTTTATATTGTAATGGTGGCTTCTTTTATATATGTAATGTATAACAATGACTGTTTAAACCTCAAGAAATATTCTTTTGGTATCTGATACAGAAAACCTTTCAAATATTTTAGTAGAATATACTATGTTTTATGAAAGCAAAACAAAGCAGTTATTTCTGCCTGAACATTACATATTTAGAAGATTAAGCTTCTAATAAACATACACTAACTTAGATTTCTGCATATAGCTTTAATCAATGTACTTAGTGTTTTGCATCATTTAGCCACCTGCCTCTTTTTTACTAAGAATGTCTGTGATTATTTTTCAGTGAACAAAACTTCATGATTTCATGGTGTAAATAACTGTATAAGTTTTACATTTGGAGAAAGATTTTTAAGATTCTAATTCTCAGCATGTCTTCCTTCCTCTCTCCCCCTTACCTGATTTTAGCTCCTCTTTGGTTCAGGTGTGCTGGTGTCCCTAAGTCTTTCTGGGCCGCAGCTGGAGAAAGTGGTGATTGACAGAAGCCTGGTGGGGAAGCTCATCTCAGACACCATCAGTGATGGTAATTACCCCCATGTGCAAATCAATTGCCTACATTAACAGTGGGGCAGGAGAAATAGTGTGTCAACAGGTAGACTAATTATTACCACTGGGGACTTGCAAACACAACAAGTAATTGCTTGTAATAGCATACTTACAACCCCTGGGACCAATACAAGTTTGAACTAATATTAAATATCAATTTTTTTTTTCTTGTCAAGTGTTAGACTCATATTCTGAGCATTTTTCAGTCTTCCTTTAAAAAAAAAACAACCTTATTTTTAAAATAGGTTTTTTTCTATTCTTTCAAAATTATTCCTCTGTTACTGACATTTCAAATATTTTCATATCAAAATTAATTTTGAATAAATAACACAAATATGTCTACACAGCCACCAGTTGAAAAAAGATCATAAGTGCTTTGGCTCTTACAGAAAGATTCTTTGTTATTAAAACCCATGAATACTATATTTTGGGAGATGTGAGGCTATATTTTCTAAGTATTAAAAATCAGTGCTATTCTGGGAGTGTAGCTCAGTGATCAAGTATTTGTCTAGCATGCATGAGGCCTTGGCTTTAATCCCCAGCACCACAAATAAAAAAGAAAGAAARATCAGTACCAAAAATACTGGATAAATCTGGTTCTATTAAATGGCACCACAAGTGTATGTATCATTGGTACAAAGCACAAAAATATTTTAAGCTACTTATTGAATARGAAGGTTAACTGACATTTATTAAGTCATAAAAGCTCAGTGATAGGGTGCCAACCCACCTATATCATTTAATCCAAGAAAATAACCATATAAGATATAGTTATTTCCATTTTTATTAGATGAGGACCCTGAAGTTGAGCTACTCAGGAATATGCCCAGACTTATAGAGCTAGAGAATAACTGAGCTAAGATTTGAACACAAGTTCTGACTAYAGTGCTCATTTTTTTTCCCATAGCAATAGCACTATGCTAACTCCTGAATTTTTTATGATGATATTCTTTCATTCAAAGTAAATGGTCTAAAAACAGTTTGTATCATCATGAAAGGTTAAAATGGTTAGTATCTTAAATTGAATAATCAAAGGAAAATGTAGTCTAGAGGAGGAGAGGGCAGAGGTGAGAATAAAAAAACCTTCTGTCCACTGTGTGCTCTCTGAACAAATCAGACACAATCGTGTCACCTTAAAAAATAAATACCCTGGCCAGCACGGTGGCACATTCCCGTAATCCAGGCAGCTCCAGAGGCCAAGGCAGGAGGATTTTGAGTTCAAAGCCAGCTTCAGCAAAAGCAAGGCGCTAAGCAACTCAATGAGACCCTGTGTCTAAATAAAATACAAAATAGGACTGGGGATGTGGCTCAGTAGTGCCCCTGAGTTCAAGCCCCAGTACCAGGAAAAAAAAAAAAAAAGCACTCTGCAGGATTGCTGTAATTAGCAACATTACTGATAACAAGCTGAGGTAGGATTGTAAGCATGCCATTTCCTCTTCCTTGTAGGAATATGGTGCTGAGGAAGCTTCCCTGTGGAAGAGATTCCATTTTCATATTCTACTAAAAGAACATTGCAAATGAAATTGTAGCTGTGATGATTTTGTCATATTGATGCTCCTCTGTAAGAATTAAAAGGAGACTTCCAATACTATTCATGTCTCTGAGTTATCTTTTTTCACTTGTTTCTTTTATTTGTACCCAAAATAATACACTCTCATGGGACCATGATAACAATGTGATTTCTTGGCAGTTCTCCAGATTCTCCTGTAATTGTGTAGATACACTGTTGGTCACTGCTTGAATGGCCAGGGGTGTAAAAATACAAAAAAAAAAAATTATAAAACATTCAATAATTTTTTATGCTAGGAATAACACGAAACATTCCTCAGGTTCCTATTATATATTTTAATCATAATTTCATATACCATTAGTGGTTGTTTATATAACCCTGCTATTAATTATCTGTCTACTTGTATGCTTTAGAAATGAAGCTGTAGATGTGTTTTTGCTAATCTTCATTATTAAATACTAACTTATGTAATGTTCATGCTGGATATTTTCATGCAAGCTGTTAACCCTCAAAAGAAGTATCACTAATGAAAATTTTAAAAAGAGATTGGTAGAGAACACTGATTGATAGTATCCCCTAATCAGTCCACYTATTTTTAGATGGTTTGTGGTATATGAACATAGAGTCTAAGCACAAATGAAAATAAATGTTGTTTTTCCATCATCACATTCAGGTGTGAAATAGTCTTTCTTTTATGCTTTTCTAGTCTTGGTTCCACATATGTGTCATTTAGAGTGATCTCCAAACATCAGTGTATATTGAAATAGTCATAAGAAAAAGGGGAAGACACCAAATCCATATGAATAGATTGACAGTTATCATTCATTTTTAATATGTTCAATATCCTTGTAAAACATCATGCTATTTAGGAGACATTAGTGATTTCAATTATATTTATCTTCTGAAAATAGATTTTGTTATAGTATTTCAGTGAAAAACATCTGTTATATTCATTATAATTTTATTCTAACTGGTATTATCAAACCTTTTTTTTAAGCTCTTCTCACAGACAGCTTCATCATCTTATCATTTTTGGTGCAGAACAAACTATGTTTTATTCAGTTTTCCAAGAAGATGGATTCTCCTGATATAAACAAAAGATTGGAAAAACTCTCAGCCTTAGATTACAAGGTAGAGATTTCAATGTGTATAGTCATATTATTAGTTCTTAAGGCATACTAGAGTATTACATGAATTGATGTTATGTTTATTTTCCTTGAACCTTTCAAGATTTCAGAAAAACCAGAATTATTGTGGGATTAAGCTTTATTCATATAAACAGTGGACATCCTAACTTTTCTTTTTCACTCTATGAAGAGAAGAGGTCTAACACTGGCATATTTGGAGCAGTTTTTATAGTACTTATGGAAGTCAAAGGCAAGTTACACTTTTGAAAATGGTTTTCTTGCCAGCAGCAATATACACACCAATCTCATTTTCCCCTAAGAACTCATATAGCTGCTGTGGTTTCCACTTCACAAGAAACAAAACATAAAACCACAATACCAGCCTCACCAACAACAAAACACATTAAAAAAAAGACTTATCAAGGACTTTGTATTTATTAAGGCAAGATTTTTATTTTAAGTGATATGTTTAAATTTTTCATATTACATTTTAACCGCTGGGAAGACATACTCTCTGCTAGGATGGGTATCTAATACATTTTCCAGGCTGTTTCAGTTCAAGGCCTCTTTTCAGCAATGACTTGTGTTTGCAAGATTGATCCAGCCTCTGTGTCATGGATTTGAGACAGTTCACTGTTCATTGGGAACACAACTGATATACAGCTTCCTTAAGAAAGATGCACACTTATGTCATACCTAGAGTATTTATAGCAAAGACAAAGATTTTTAGAAGCTAGCTCTGTGTCTKAAATTTGTGTATTTTTAGAAAAGTTGTATTTTACTGAGCTTTTTGCCATTTGAGATTATTATTTATTATGATTGACTTGGTAGTACTATGGGGATTGTTTAGTAAAAGCATCTATTATTTAATAAAATATTGGGGCATGGACTAAAGTACATGAAGCAAGGTTTTCATTATGGTTTAACTACAGTCTGGTTTTGTTTGTCAGCTTTGTGGTGCTTCTATAAAACTTTATGTAATATTGATTTTCTTTAATTGAAAATCAGTGATACATATTAGATTTGGTTAGTCAAAAATATAATTTCCTTTAGCATTCTTAAAATGATGTCATTTTCTAAACAGCTACCTGTAGATTTATTTGAAATATTTTTTACTTACTGATATTGGCCTTTAAAATATGCCAGTATGCATTAACTGAAAACATTTAAAGTAAGTGTTGTTAATGATGTTATACAAAATTTTGTATGATTGTTTCTTCATCTTAAGTTTGATGAGTAGCTTGGTTATGTCTTCTCAACTGATAGATAAATAGTTCCCTGATAATGAGAACAGAGAAAAACTATTAGGTTATCAGTTTTCCTTATGAAAAGATGTGGAAAATAGACCTAGTCTTTGGGTTATTATACCTTAAACAGGCAATTAATTTTTTTTACTCTTTATGCCTTTGGATTTGGAAAATTAGGAACATGGACTTTCCAYATTATTTCTATACATTAGAGAAGTAATCTCTTTCCCTTTGGAAAACCCATGAATTTCACTTCATATTTTAATATTTAAAATATAAATATATGAATAATTATATCCATTCAAAGGATATTTTAAGAAATTTGTTTATTATGACAGGATGCTAATAACTCCTGATCATGACAGAATATTAATACCATTAATATTCATAGGAAATGTGAAATTTCAGATAATTGATTTGCTTATGTAAGAACTGAAAATGTCAGTCACTCATTTTAACTCTATTCTCTTGTCTAGAAATTTTTAAATAACATGCTTACATGGCAAGTTGGACATCAAAATAGAATATGTGTGTATTTGTAAGTACTTAGCAATTCCAAAGTGGTATTTCTCTTAAGTATGAAGTTAAAATAATATACTGAGAACTTAAATATAGAAATTTGCACTTAAAAGCACAAGGTACATCTGTGTTTTGTCCTTGCCCAGTTGGATTTTAAAACAAGGAAGTGATAATAGAGAGTATTATAATTCTGCTTTTCTTTACAACTGTGCCATAATTTAATTATTTCAGATTGAAATAATTTTGGCAAAGGAAATTTCAGGGTAAATATTCCTGAAACTGTTGACCTTTAACAAGTTTTCCTGTCTATATTTTAAAAATCCAATTCAATTTAACAGTGAAGGGACAGTGTAGGGAGTTAAATGTTTACCATGAGAGAACAACACTGGTAATTACTTTGATTTCAGTTCCTTTTGATGTGCATTCAGAGGATGAAGAGGTCAATAATATTATGGCCATGCAAATAGAAAAGGGTTCCTTTTGACCATATTGAAAAAAAATAGCAGAGGATTATTAAAGCATTAACCTTGATTTTAATGGCCTTGGTTGAGTGGTGAGATCACAATTTGGATGAGCCTGATTATTTACTAAATACAATACATAAATGCAACGGGTTCTTAACACCCATTGCACTCTGGCATTATCGCATTACTGCCATCCTTTGTTGCCTTGCAGACAGGAATATGAAAGCAATCTGTCATGTAGTGAGACTGGCTCCAGAAGCATTTCTCTGATAAGAAGACCCCCTGCCCTTTGCTAGTGTCTGGTCCAGTAGGCTTAGCCATGCGCTTAATCCCCAGAAAGTGGTTCGATTATTGCTGACCAGCAATGGCAAGATAGTTTTTTTTTCTTCCAAGCTATCAACCTTCCATTAATTCCTTAAGCAGAAATACGGTGCAATCTATATTTCCTTGGCATGTGTCACCCAGATGGTGCCGTGCTTATGTTTTCAAATAACCATGTTCCAAAATAACATAGTTTGAATAATAAATTCTACAAATCCTTCCTAAGAAAGAGGAGCATAATTCTCAGAAGCTGCATAAACTTTTACGCATGATGCTGTGGCTTATCCCTTTTATGCAGAATATATGTGTATATGTCTCGTATATTCTTTAAAGAGATATTTGCCTCAAGTTGTTTTTCCTTTTATTGTTGTCAGTCATTGTTAACATGTTATGTCTTAAACAGTAGTTCGACACTCTTGGTCAGCAGTACTGAACTTGTCATTTAATACAGCTGGTCTTAAATCCTATGTGTAGGTCGATGCTGTCAAGCAACCATGACTGTACATTTTGGTATTGATTGGAATTGCTACATTCAATTCCTCCCTAACTCACATTTCTTCTTTTCCTTTCCTCTGCTAAAAATGGGGAGAATTTGAACATATGTCTTTTTTATATATGTGTCAAAAGAATTTGGTAAATTCTGACACTTTCTTAAGCACATGTTTAACATGCATATTTACTTGCATGTATTTACATTTACAGATGCTTTAATTTTAGTAATACTTCAAGGATTTTGCATCTTTTAAAAAGAAATGTTTCTTGTATTCTTTTTTTTTTTAACCATTAGATTTCCTATTATGAATTACCTGGTCCAGTAAACAGGACAGCAGAGCGTCGTCTAGCTATCAATTGTATTCAGGATATGGTTGTTTGCTGGTGGCCACTGGTCAGTGATGATGCTTGGCCTTGGGCCCCAATTTCTTCAGAGAAGGACAGAGCCAATCTTCTGCTCCTGGGTTATACTCAAGGAAAACTGGAGGTAAATTTAAAATAAATATATATCTCTTAATGAAGTGCAAGTAAAATAGTGTTATTAGTTTTGCTGTTCTGAGAAAAATATGAATATTGCCTTAAACCTATTGTTTATTTTCAAATACTCAAAAAAGGAAATTATATATGAAATGAAATCTTAAAAAAGTATGAGAGCTAGAGGATAAATAGACAATTCCAAGGCTGACTGGAATACTGTAATGATTAAAAACACAGGCTTCTAGGTTCAAATCCTAGCTCTTCTACTACTTAGCTGTATGTGCTTGAGCAAGTTACTAACCTCTATGTGCTATAGTTTCATTATTTGAAAAATAAGTAAATATAGATGAATAAGTTAATACATGCATTTAGAGTAGTACTTATATACAGTAAACTCTGAATCACTATTCACTATTGTCATTATCATTAGTACTATCCTACAATTTGTTCATTATTTCATAACTATGAAAGTTATGTTACCAGTTACTCTCTTCAGACTTCAATCAGTCAATTAACAAACATTAGTCAAATGCCTATTTTGTATAAGGCCCTGTGATGCCAAATGACCAGTGGGATGAGAAGATGTAAGAAAAGCTATAAAGCAGCAGCCTTCTCATTGCAGTATCCTGTCTCTAACAGGAGCACCAAAAATGTTAATCTACCAGGAGAGGACAAAATCCCCACTCTATTCCTGACAATGGTTTATTCATTCACTCTTGTAAGCAAACCTGTGTGTATTTTCAGTTTGTACCTATACTTTGAATACAGAGTTCTCTGTGTATCTTTTTTTATAACTTGTAAAAAAGAGCTTTCCCTCCTTTTTTGTTCAAGTTTTATCTGGTGAAATGGTGTGTTCTTTTATTTTCCTCTAAATCTGTTATCTTTTAGACTTCTGAAGAGTATTTCTCAGAATTAGTATTCTGAGATAAAATGAACAAGTCTATTTTCTCTATCTACCTCTCTGATTTTATAAACTGGGAGACTGGCTTTTAAGACCAAAGAGTCCTAATATTTTATGCACAGTATTTATGCATATCTTCCTTTGGAATCTTCTCAATCTGCTAWAGAGAATTTGATTACTTTTTCTAGAATTTTTCCAATTCGGTTGTAATGACTAAAATCACTGAGAGTGCTTCAGGTGTGGATTTTATGGGACAGAGCAAGTGCTGGTTCCCTGCACATCCTGTCTGTGTCCACCATTTTATTGATTTGGGTTCAGAAGCTCCTTGAGTAAAAGTCTTCATATACATGATTTGAAGTAATTAAGCTAATTATAATTCCATTAAATGTTCTGTATATAATAAAAGTGAAAACAATTAAATCAGCCTTTAGTTATACACTTTACAAATTACCTTCATTTGAAATGAGTGCACAGAATGAAATTAGGGTTGTCTAAAAGCATGTTCATATGGCCTGTGTCCCTCATTACTTGATGTCATCTACATCATAGACATCAGAGTTGAACAGATCTGGGTTTGTCTGTTGATTACACCATTCGCTAACTATAACCTTAATCAAGTTTATGCCTCTAAACTTCTTCCTGCCTTTTGCTAATTCTGTGTTCTGTGGCTTTAGGTAGATCACCTACCCTGGCTGACTCTAGTTTTCTTATTTTTAAAGTGATAGATTTAAACCAGATAGGTCACCTTCAGGTCCCTGACAGTTCAAAAATGTGCTTATCTGGATTCTGAAGCACAGATCTTGTTTAGCCATTGCCTGTTCAAATGACTTCAGTAGATGCTGAAACTAAATTCAGCCTCAACACTGAAAAGCCTGTGATGATGATTGGCCTTGACCTACTTTCCCAGTGTTCTTTTCTTATATAAATGTATGCTCTAGCCAGATGAATTACTTACTGCTTCATTATTTCCCATTACCTGCATGCGCACATTAATGGTTTTTCCTACCTGAAAAAGTATGTCATTCAGCAACTATTGAGTATGACCGTAAGTAGATACTGTATTTCATACCAGGAGATATGATTAAGAAACTATCCTGCCTGCAGTGATCTTAGTGTCCACTAGTGAGAGAAAAAGTGTGAATGTGCTGTGGATAGAGTATGTGTAAACTGAAATTCGAACCATAAGGAGTTATTTATTCTGTTCAGATGATAGGGAGGGGGAGTTAAAAAGACTTGAGTACCAAAAAGAATTATCTCATACTGAGTTTTCAGTAAAACTTACCTGTTAAATTACCTGGGTATGATGTCTTTTAAGGAGGATACAGTTTTTCATTACTGATCCATATTTAGAGTTGTTTGTTTCTATTTTTTCCTGAGTTGTTTTCCATAATTTATATTTCTATAAAATTAAACTTTTTATATAAGTGTTCAGATATATTTGCGTAAGGTTGTATATGATATTTTTGCATGATTTTTTTTAACTGCTAGGGATTAAACCCAGGGACTCACACATGCTAGGCAAATGCTTTACCACTAAGCTACATCCCAGCCCACACATGATTTTTTTTATTCACAATCATTGTATAATGTCCCCTTTTGACTCCAAATCTATTAAGTATATAATTCTTTTCTTTCTGTAGCAAGGACATTTATTTTAGAATATGACCCTTTCAGCTATTCTATCAAAATTAGCCTGCTAGGAAAATTTGTAAAGATATCTTTTTCAAAAATGTATTTGAACTTCAGTATGCCAAAAATGAATATTTTTTGGAAAAAAATATTTTCTGGGAAAATAATTGTTTTACTGTGTGTGTATGAAGATATAATCTTTAACTATGAAGTAGAGCATTTTTTTTCCTTGAAACTATCATGAATTAAAACCACCAGTCTATTATAGTAGTTTTCACTAGTAGTAGGGGACTTCTTGAACTAATCACCAGAATAAAGATACAGTGTGCTTTTATACCCTAAAATTCAAACTTTTTTTTTTTTTTTTAAAGAGCAGTGTAGAGAAGAAATTTAATTTTTGGATCTGTTAAAGTATGAGTTTTTAAAAAAGCATTTCCCATGTGGTTTTAATCAGTAAAGATAATAAGTTTTTATTTGGCAGGTTCCTAGAATAGTAGTTCCTAGCCTTGACAATATATTACAATCACCTCAGAGAGGATCCACCCAGACTAGTTCCCTCAGGATCTCTGGATAGGAGGGGCCTTCATAATCTTTTCCGGGTTTCCTTGGTGATTCTCCTGGGTATTCAAGTTGAGGCCCACTGCTTTATAGCAAACTTAAAAAAAAAATTAGAGTTATCTTTTTTGCATAACATACCATGGAAAGGATAAAGCCCACATACTGAACCAAATAAGAGTTTTAACAGTAGATTCTAAGTAGAAAATTGGCTTACCAAGCAGCTAAAAAAAGAAAAAGAAAACAAAGGAGACAGAAATAAGCTTTCTGTGACTGAATTATCTTTCAGAAGAGAAACAGTTTTTAATTTATTTTATGGATATTAAAAAACTGCTGGTCTAATTTCACACCACAGAGCTCTAAATAACAGCCCATATCTTAATTAAAAGCATAGAACAGAGGTAGTTATTTAGTCTAAGAAAAAAAATTCTTTTGAAAAATATACAGTATATAGTGTGGAAAAAAATTGTTTTTTGAATTGAATCCAAGAGTGCTCTACCACTCAGCTCTTTTTTAAAATTTTATTTTGAAATAGAGTCTCACTAAGTTGCCCAGGCTGGTCTTGAACTGTGATCCTCCTGCCTCTGCCTCCCAAGCTGGAATTACAGGCATTCACCACCAATTCTGGCTAGAAAAAGAAATTTTTATCAGCAAATTCATTTAAAATATATTTTAATGGAGTATATGTACATTATTATATATAATATGATGGTCATTTTCCCATACGCTTTTTTTTTAAGGTACTGGGGATTGAACCCAGGGGCACTGTATCACTGTGTGACATCCCCAGGCTTTTTTTTTTTTTACTTTATTTTGAGATAAGGTCTCTGTAGTTTGTCTGGGCTGGCCTTGAATTTGTGATCCTCCTTCCTCAGCCTCTTGAGTAACTGGGATTACAGGCAAATACTACTGCGCCCTGTTCCATATACTCTTTATACTTCTTTTTAAAAAGTTATCACCATTTTCCTAGAACTATCTTTTTCATTCACTTTGACAATAATGTGATGACAACTTATTCTGCCCTTTTATATTTGAGCAGGTATTTTAACTTTTTAGATGTGTGGATGATAATACTTTTTGAGTATGGTGTAATTTCATAATATCTTACTCAGAAAAGATAAACTGTATTTGTTGACCAAATTAATCCAAAACACATCAGCAGACCTTTTAAACTTTAAAACTGTTGTCAGGATTATGGAAATATAACCTCACAAAAGTACTTTTTCCGGGCTGGGGATGTGGCTCAAGCGGTAGCGCCTCGCCTGTCTTGCGTGCGGCCTGGGTTCGATCCTCAGCACCACATACAAACGAAGATGCTGTGTCCGCCGAACAAAACTAAAAAATAAATATTAAAACACTCTCTCTCTCWMAAAAAAATATTWAAAAAAATACTTTTCCACATAAAAATTAAACACTGTTATTTCTGTGATTTTTAGAAACAATGACAAATGGAAAAGTAATAATGTGACCAACTGTTAAGATAATAAAATTAGACAAAGGAGGCATTTAAAAACCATTACAGATGTGTTCAAATGAAAAGCCAAAATATTTAGGAAACATCTCTTCCAAAGAAATGTCATGTACTGTGTCAGCTTTTAGCCAAATGACAAAGGTATTCTGTTTTACGATTTTTTTTCTAAAAGCTGTTTATTGTAAAATAAAACACACATAAAGAAAAACACAAAATAAGTTTATAGCTTAACAAAATATTATTAGGGGAACCTTTGAGTTGAGAAATAGAATTGTGTAGTACTCTGATGTAATTCCATGTGTCACAATCTTGACACCTTCTCCTTCCCTAGAAGTCACTACCATCATGGTTATTAATCATTTCCTTGTAAACCCATATAGTTTTTAGTTTTATCACCCAAGTGAATCCCCAGAAACTAAGTATAATATTATCCACTTAAAACATTTCAGTGTAT